ACAGAAAATAACAGATGTTGGAGAGGTTGCAGGGAGATTGGAACTCTTATGCACTGCTGGTGGGAATGTAAAACAGTACAACCATTTTGGAAAACGATATGGTGCTTTCTTAAAAAGCTAGAAATCGTAATACCATATGATCCAGCAATCCCATTCCTAGGTATATATCCTAGAGAAATAAGAGCTGTCACATAAATAGACATATGCACACCCATGTTCACTGCTGCATTATTGACAATAACAAAAAGATGGAAACAACCTGTGAATGGATAAACAACGAATGATAAATGAACTATGGTACATACACACAATGGATAATTGATGATAATCTTATTGATTTAGCTAGTGTCTAATTACATTTATGATTTTGTCATATGCTAGATATAGGGCCTGACACAAGAGGGAGGGAAATACTAAATATGTGTGTGTGCATGTGTGTGAAAGAGAGAGAGAGAGAGAGACGTGGTATGGAATTATAAGGAAAGAACTCAAGATTTGCAAACATACAGTCTTGGTTTGTGCCTTAACCCTCATCCATTAATAAATCAGTGAAATAGGGCAATGATGAATCTGGGAGACATCTCACAACGTGGATGAATCTGGAAGGTATTATGCTGAGTGAAATAAGTCAGTCACAAAAGGACAAATGCTGTATGAGACCACTATTATAAAAACACATGAATATGTTTCCACTTTGATTGTTACAAGGGAGGGGAGGGGTAGGGAGAGAAAAACCCTAACTGGATGGTAGATAAGTGGTAACTTTGGTGGAGGGCAAGACAGTACACGATACTGGGGAAGTCAGCACAACTTGACCGGGGTAAAGTCATAGAAGCTTCACAGACACATCAAAATGCCCTGAAGGATCGAGCTACTGGGCTGAGGGGTGGAGACCATGGTCTCGGGGGACATCTAGCTCAATTGGCATAACATAGTCTAGAAAGAAATTGTTCTGCATCCAGCTGTGGTGAGTATCAACCAGGGTCTTAAAAGCCTGTGAGCGGCCAGGTAAGATACATATACTGGTCGCATCCTGGCTGCAGCAAAGGAGAATGAAGAAAACCAAAGTCACGAGGGAAAGAATAGTCCAAAGGACTAATGGACCACAACTCCCACAGCCTCCACCAGACTGAGCCCAGAACATCGGGCTGGTACCCGGTTACCACCACCTACTGCTCTGGCAGGGATCACCATAGAGGGTCCTGGATGGAGCAGGAGAAAAATGTAGAACAAAATTCAAATTCCGCCCTCCTCAAAAAAAAAAAAAAAACCAGGCTTGCTGGTCTGACAGAGACTGGAGAAACCGCAAGTTTATGACCCCCAAATACGCTTTTAACTCAATGCTGAAGTCACTCCTGAGGTGCACCCTTCAGCAGAAGATTAGACGGGTCTGTAGGGCCACAATAACACACGTGAGCAACGTGTTTCGTAGTTCAATTCATGCACAGGAGACTAATGGGCACACTGGCCCAAAAGCAAAGACGAGAAGGCAGGGTAACAGGAAAACTGGACAAATAAAGAAACAGGGAACACAGGATGGGGAAGGGGAGAGTGTTGCCACACCGCAGGGTGGGTAAACGCTGTCACAAAACAATCTGTGTATTAACTGTTCAATGAGAAACTAATTTGCTCTGTAAACTTTGATGTAGAGCTCAATTAAAAAATATGTAAAATAAAAACACATAAACAAAATCCTCACAAGTGGGCCAACAAGCAACATCATAATAAACAGAGAAAAGATTGAAGTTGTCAAGGATTTCATTTTACTTGGATCCACAGTCGGTGCCCATGGAAGCAGCAGTCAAGAAATAAATGACATATTGCATTGGGCAAATCTACTGCAAAAGACCTCTTTAAAGTGTTAACAAGCAAAGATGTCACTTTGAGGACTAAGGTACACCTGACCCAAGCCATGATATTTTCAGTCGCCTCATATGCATGCAAAAAATGAACCATGAATAAGGAAGACCGAAGAAGAATCGACACCTTTCAATTATGATGTTGGTGAAGAATATTGAATATACCATGGACTTCCAAAAGAATGAACAAATCTGTCTTGAAGGAAGTAAAGCCAGAATGCTTCTCAGAAGCAAGGATGGCGAGACTTCTCATGTACTTTGGACATATTATTAGGAGGGACCAGTCCCTGGAGAAGGACATCATGCTCGGTAAAGTAGAGAGTCGGCGAAAAAGAGGAAGACCCTCAATGAGATGGATTGACACAGTGGCTGCAACAGTGGGCTCAGGCCCAACCAGAAGTGTTTTGTACTGTTGTATGTAGGGTCGGTATGAGTCGGAACCCATTCGATGGTACCTAACAACAGAGATGATCACAAGGTTCTTTTCCTTTGTCCAATTGATGTGGTGTATTACGGTGATTGATTTTCTAATGTTGAACCATCCCTGCAGTCCTGGAATAAATTCCACTTGGTCATGGTGAAAGGTGGAAATATTTCATTTAATTTAAAACCCATTCAAGATAAGTAAAACTTGGCCTGCTGGAAACAGCGGGACACTTCTATTAAAAATATGTACCAAAAACCTACAACAAACATCACACTGGTCAGATGTTTGAAGCAATCTCTCTCAAATCAGGAATGAGATAAGGATGGCTGCTATTGTCACTTCTTAAAACATTTTACTGGAGGTTTGCAACAGCACAGGAAGACGAAAAAAGAAAGGAACTAAAAATTTTCATTTTGTTTTGCAGATTATGTGATTCTATTTGTAGAAAACTCAAAATCTACACTCTTATAGGATAAATAATTCAGCAGGTTTCTTAGTGTTAGATCAATATGCGAGATAAATTATAATCTCTTATACCAGTAATAGATAAAAAATGTTTAAAAATACCTTTTACAGTAGCAACAGAAATTATGAAGTGCTAAGAAATAAATTTAATAAAAGATGTGACTGACCAATATGAAAAAGATTATAAAGCTGTATTGAAATACATTTCAAGACCTAAATATGGAGAGATACCATTTTTATGAATCGGAAGACAATATGAGAAAGACATATATTCTCCCCGAACTAAGCTATGAATTAAATATAAGTCCAATAAAAATACAAACAGGCTTTTTCATGGAACCTGCTAAGCTGAATAAAAAATGTTTGTGGAAGCGTAAAGGAACAAGAAAAGTCCAAGTGATTTTGATAAATAGGAAACGTGGGAGGAACTGACCCACAAGTTATTGAACCCTATCTATTAAAAGCCATAGGTAAGCGAGTGTGGTACTGACACATGGATACACACAGTGGAGGAGAGTGGAGAACCCAATAATAAGCCCATGCCTATGTGACAGTATATGACAGAGGTAACCTCACAACCAGTGGGGGAAAGGGTAGACTAGTCCGTGAATGATGGCTATCCAAACAACAACAAAAAAAAAAAGCTTGAAGTGGATCGAAGACCTCAATGTAAAAAGCATTACTTCTAGAAGAAAATGTGGAGTAGAAAAGGAGTTCCTAAATAAGACATACAAAAATGCGCAGACCGCAACATAATGGGTGAAAAAAATTTATATTAAAATTAAAAAATAAAATTGCTATTCTTCAAAAGGTACCATTATATCGTGGTCATAGTTTTTAAAACATCTAATCATTTAGAGATATATATTTAAATATTTAGGAACACAGTTATACCCGGGATTTGCTTCAAAACAATCTAGTGGTGAGGGAATGGGTAGGGTTATTACTGATATAAGGTTATAGCTATGAGACGGTAATTGTTGAAGCTGAGTGATTGTTGTTGTTAGGTGCCGTCGAGTCGGTTCCGACTCCTAGCGACCCCACGTACAACAGAACCAAACACTGCCCGGTGCTGCACCATGCCCATGGTCGTTGTTATGCTTGAGCCCATTGTTGCACCCACTGTGTCAATCCATCTCGTTGAGGGTCTGCCTCTTTTTTGCTGACCCTCTACTTTACCAAGCATGATGTCCTTCTCCAGGGACTGATCCCTCCTGACAACATGTCCAAAGTATGTGAGACAGTCTCGCCATCCTTGCTTCCAAGCAGCATTCTGGTTGTCCTTTTTCCAAGATAGATTTGTGCATTCTTTTGGCAGTCCATGGTATATTCAATATTCTAAGTGATTGAGTATATGGTAATTCATCAAACTTTCCTCTGTCATTTTAGTATATGATATATAATTTTTCACTGAAAAGGTAAAAAGAAAAAAATATAAAACGACTCTAGCTTGCACCTACCAGATTAGCAAAAAATTTTAAATCTGGTAATTCTGAATGTCAACAAGGACACGGGAGCCCTGGTGGCGCAGTGGTTAAGAGCTCGGCTGCTAACCAAAAGGTCAGCAGTTCGAATCCACCAGCCACTCCTTGGAAACCCTGTGGGGCAGTTCTGCTTTGTCCCAAAAGGCTGTTATGAGTTGAAACCGATCCGACGGCAAGAGGTTTGGTTTTTGGTACAGACAAGACCATGAAAAAGTGAGTACTTTTATACACAAATCATACGAACACGAACTGGCACGATCAATTTGGAAACAAAGTTGGCGTCTAGTAAAACCGAAGGTGTTGCTTGTTTGCTACCCAGCTGTTCCCCATCTAGGCTGGCCTACAGGCATTCTTGCTCATGGAAACACATAGGAAAATGTTCCTAGGCCCACTGTCTTCACGGCAGAAACTGGAAATGCCGAAATGTCCTTTTGTAGAAGAATGCGTGACTAAGTGGTGATATATTTACCTAATGAAATGAATTAGCTGGAGTGACACACATCCACATCGATACATGTCAAACACGGTGGGAGGAAAAGGAATGTGCAGAACACAAACATAATACCATTCATATAAAGTGTAACACAAACCGTGTAAAACTACACAGTGTGTTCTAGGGATGCACATACATGTAGTCAAATCTGAGAGAGCAGCTAAGAACGTCAGGTTCAGAATTCAGGCCACGGTGACCTGTGATGGGGACGGCAGGCGGCCAAGGGCACAGGGGGCGCCGCAGGGATGGTGTGGTTTTGTTTCTTCAGCTGGTGGTAGATGCGTGTGTGCGGTACAGTGTTTAGTTCTTCTGCATGTAATATAATAATCCGTATTCAAAAAATAATCTTGGGTCAGGTAAAAGGAGAGGACGTGGCAGGCTGAAGTGAGAGAAGAGGCACAAAAGTACGCATTGGGGGAACGATGAAATTCAGTTCAGTTCAACAACCTTTTATTGAGAACAGATGAATGAAACCTTCCCTGTCCGACAAGGTACACAGTCATCTGCCAGAGGCAAAATGCTGATCCTTCTCGTTCCAAAGGTGAAGACAGCTACCGCGAAAGCATCAATTCTGGCCAAACCCCTGATGAGGTCCAAAGCACCAGTGGCCTTTTTGTGTGTGTGTGTGTGATGTAAAGTCGTAATTCTTTAATTCTAATTTACATTTTGCCTTTAATTTGCTGCTGTTGTTGCTACCAGGGGCCTTTTGATCCCAGGTGAAGGCTCTGGGCCCTGCCTTCCCTTGGTCTTCACCCCATCTGCCCCCTCCCCTCTCCTGTACATGCAGAATGGCTTGTAGGTTTGAGTCTTTAACGACACTCATGCAGTAAGATACATTACAATGCTGAGTGCGTCTGTCATGTCGCTTCTGGAAGTGAATCAGTGGGATTCACCTGGGAAAGAGAACAGTGGTGCTGAGTGTGAAGGACTTGAAGCCTGTTGCTTTCTCCTGACACCTACTACTGAGCCCAGGCGGCAGGGAAAACCATCCACGCTGAGGCACGCTGTCTAGTTACCTCTTCAGGAGGGATGCCTATCTGCCCCGGTGCCTGACTCCAGGGAAGAAAACATAGGTATGTACCAGGCTTTGTGTCCAGTTAGGCAGGAGGCAAAGCACCTGGTGGTCAGCCTGGTATCGGCACCACCTCCTACTGCCTCCACTCTGTGGCTTCCTGTGGCCTTCCCGGGGGAGTCCCTGACTTCCTCATGGCCTTCCTGGGGGAGTCCCTGGCTTCTTGATGGCCTTCCTGGGGGAGTCCCTGACTTCCTCATGGCCTTCCTGGAGTCCCTGACTTCCTCATGGCCTTCCTGGGGGAGTCCCCCACTTCCACACAGCCTTCTGGGAGCCCACAGAGACAGCAGCCTGATAGGTAGTCTGGTCCCAGGGTCACATACAACGTGCTGCAGATTCTGGCTCCTTCTAGTCTTGTCAAATCTTCTGCTGCAACCTGAGGCCCTGGATGGGCTCTGTCACTCTACTCCCAGCTTTGTTCCAACTTTCTGGGTCTCACCGTGACACAACAGTCAACTAAGTGTCTGCAGATCTGAAAGAGACCAAAGAGAATCACGGCCCTGTCACCATACCCAGACCCCAGCATCTCGGTTTCCCTTCAAGCCCCTGCCTCTTCCATCTTTCTATCTATTCTGTTACTTCCTAACCCACTGCAGTACAAGGCCCCTCCCCTGGATATGCCTATCATAGGCAGTTCTTTCCAATTCTTTCCTATCTTTTGGGCTTCTGAAACCATTGTCCCTCCGGGTATCTTCCCAGCTCCTGGATGATATCTCCAACCCAACCTCAGTGAGAGAAACCTAATACTATTAATACTAATATAATACCTACCAGTTGTCATCGAGTCCACGTGTCAGAATAGAACTGTGCTCCATAGGGTTTTCAGTGGCTGTGACCTTTCAGAAGCAAATTACCCGACCTTTCTTCCGAGGCACACCTCTGGGTGGGTTCTAACCGCCAACCTTCCGGTTGGTAGTCAAGCACTTAACCACCTGCACGACCCAGGGACTCCAGTATAACGTATACTGACAGCTAACATCTCCCTTCCTGAGCCTGCACTCAGCCACCGGCTACCATCGCTGTCCCCCCAGAGCTGAAGTTCACCACCCACTCTGGCCGCCCCTTCCCGTTTCCTCTTCCTCTCTAGGCTTACAGCGCATGACAGCTTCCTTGACCTGGCGAAAGCCGCCGTCGGGGCCCCTGCCGTCCACGTAGTACATGAAGCGGAGCTCAGGCGGGTAGGAGGCTCGGGTGAGGCCTGAGAGCAGCGGGATGGTGCAGCCCTCTGCCGCGGGGGCCTGGGTCAGGGCCTGCAGCATCTGGTACTTGCACCAGGGGTCCTGGAGGAAGCCGGGGGTGATGAGCAGCACGCGGCAGTGACTGCCGCTCAGGGCCTGGCACAGCTCCGACACGATGGCGCCCCCTGGGGTCGCGTCGCGAAGCTGCAGGAAGCAGCGCAGGCTGGCGGCGCTGCCCTCCAGGTAGGAGACCAGTTCCTGGGCGGCCGCCAGGTCCTCCTCACTGTGGCACACACACACGTCATAGTCTTTGCTCCAGCGGCCGCTGCTGCTGGCGCCCACGGGTGGTGGTGGGGAGGTGGGAGGCTTGACTGAGCTGAGGCTCACGGGTGGGGGGCTGTCCCGTGAGGTCCGCTGTGAGACTTCACTGGGGGTGCTTTCTGGAGAGACGGGCAGCTTCTTGGGCTTCTTCAGCAGGGCCTGCCTGAACCAGTCTGTGGGAGAAACACACCTCAGGCTGGCACATCCACTCACCGGGCAGAGCAGAGCCCCAACGGGGGCCGGGCCCCTGCACCAGGGAGACACGTCATTCTCAGAGACCGGCCTCTGCTCCACTTTTGTCTATTCTTCAAGACTCACCTAGAAGTTCCCTCTAGCTTTAAAGGTCCCAGGAATACATGAGAACTTTGGAGTCCCTACATGGGAGTGCCTTACCAGCCTGACTGATGGCCTTGCCCTGCTCCAGGCCCGTGGATTTCTGGAGTCCAGCCCTCCTTAACCAGAGCTTCCCACTAGACCTGACTATTCAGCCATCTGTGAGCTCTGTGAGTAGAGGTACATTGTGCTAATAAGGATCAGTCAGTCCAAAAAGCAGTGGAGGGAGGTGAATTTATATTAAGATGGATTATCCATTATGGAAAGGTAAGAGAGGACATTGGCATCTGTTTGGTACCCAGAAATCCTCCACTGTTGCTAGGTGGGTAACAAGAACGCGGGAGACGGCTACTGTTCCGAGCTCCTGAAGAGCACAGAGCTTAGTGATTCGGAACCTGAGCCGAGTGAGACACACGGACATGACTGTGGATCTGCTGCTCGCTTCCTGTAGGACCTGAAGCAAGTTAGTCCCTGTCTCCGTTTGTTCATCTATAAAATGGATTCGTTTCAGCTGGCATTGACGATGAGCTGAGACAATGCCGTGTCTGCTATAATGTACGTAAGTACTCCATAATGATACTAACTCAGCTTCCCCAGCTTTTGATAGGACAGATAGATTGCTATTCTGGAGATTGAGTAGTTTTCTCTGTCTGCTTGGCTCCTTCCTCTGAGTGCTTCTGGAATAAAGATTTAGATGGCAAGAGAAGAGACACAATGCTGAGCATTCAGGACAGTGGTCTCCAGGCTAAGAGGATTAGCTGGAAAGGCCTAGAAAACCTAGGAGCCAAGAGGATGGCGAGTGCACTGATGCATGTCTCCCTTCCTCACCCTCCCCAGAGCATCTGGACTCTCAAGTCCAGCCGGGAGCCTCATCCCATCCTCAGCCTCCCTGCATCTCCCGAGTTTGGACCAGGCAGGCCTCCTGCCCCATCAGCATGGACACTGAGGACTGCATTCATAGGAACAAGTACAGAAGTAGGAATCTGGTTCTACTCACCAGCCATCCTGCCCATTGGCTTCCTGGACCGCGAGTTAGGAGTTGGCAGGGAGGTTGGTGATGTCATAGTGCTGGACCCGAAAGTAACCCCTTGAGGCCAGGCATTGGAAAAGCGGGAGAAGGGAGCAGACCCAGTCTTGACCTCATGGAGCAGCCATCCTACAAGGGACAGAGAGAGAGAATCACAAGAGCCGTACCTACCCTACTGTCAGTCCCAGTGGGTGGGCTCCTGGAGGTTCTATTTCTGTCTTGTAGCCTGATGGGCTCAGTCTCTAAATGGGCCCCTCATGGGATTAGGGACAGACATGGCTGTGATTGGGGCTGGTTTCAGACAAACCCAGATCTGTGGAGTGTGGTCAGACTTACAGGGTATGAGCTCAGCATGACCCAGCAGAATGACTGTTCTGTTCACCTGGCTAGGAGTGCATTCTGGGTCTGGGGAAGGGCAGCTGGCAGGCAACTCCTTATAAGGACTTCCTGTGTAAATGCTGAAATGGGAGAAGAAGGACAGTTGCTATTTGGTCAAATAATTATGTATCCAGGCAGACAAATGCAGAGCAGTAGACCTTGGAACACTTCTCCTCCAAGTCTGCCTTCCCCTGAATAACCCCATCCATCCGTCGTCCCTCAGCTGTCAGCTCAGGGTGGTAGTACCACAGTGTGGAAGACTGCATACTCTGCAGTCAGAATGCTTGGACTCTTACCTCTTACTCACCGTAGACTTTGGCAAACTACTTAATCTTGTTAAGCTTCAGCTCCTCCATCTGTAAAACAGAGATAATACTAGAACCTGCTTTGTAGCATTATTGTGATGATTACATGAAATACTCCATGAACAACTGCCTCCTTTGCCATGAGACCAGAAGAACCGGATGGTGCCTGGCTACCATTACTGAACATTTTGATCAAAGATTCTGTAGAAGAATCCTGATCAAAAGGGGGGAAATGCACAACAGAATTTCAAATTCTCACGGAATCCAGATTTTCTGGAGCCATGAAGGCTGGGTGAACTCCCAAAACTATTGCCCTGAGATAATCTTTAAACCTTAAACCAAAAATATCCCCTAATGCCTTCTAAAAACCAAACAATATCTTAACTAGTAAACAATGTCTGCCTGGAGCATTATGCTCTTTTAAGATCTATCTATATGGGATTAAATTGACAACATCCACTGGAAAGATTAGATAGGAACCTTAGAGGGCAGTGAGTTTGTGTCACTGGGGGAGGAACAACTCAGGAAAGGAGGGTGAGAATGGTTGCACAACTCGAAAAATGTAGTCAGTGTCACGGAACTGTACATGTAGAAACGACCTGGTGTCTGTTTTTGCTGTGTATATTCTCAGCAACAACAACAAATAAATTATTTTTAAAAAAAGGTTACATGAAATAATTTATGTAATGTGCTAATGGGGCCTGGCATATAATAAATGCTCAGAAAATGTTGCAGGCTAGTAGGTATTTAAAATAATCTAGATATTGGAGAGGTATACTATGTTCAAGGAGTAGAAGACTCAATATTGCAAAGTCAGTTTTCTCCAAATCGATCTGTAGATCATTGCTAGGCCAAGTTACAAAGGTGTTTGTTTATTTTTAGCAGCGGTGGTGGGGTTGTCAGACTACTTCTAAATTTATACGGAAACACGAAGGACCAAGAATACCTTGAATAAACTTCTGGTCAAAAGTCTTTAAGAATCAGTGTAGAGCTTGGCATGCTGTCTTCCCAGCACAGTGACAGGGGATGTTCCCGAGGGTGGTGGCTTTCAGCCTAGGTCCCTGGGAGGAGACTGTGTGAAGCAGAGCCTGCACCCGATTCAGGATGAGGCTGTAGTATCCAAGTGACACTTCTGCAGCTGCAGGCTGGCAGGGAGCTTGGCTGTAGAGGACAGAGCTGTGGAGCAACTGGCAGAAGGGCTCCTTCTCACTATTTGCCGGATCTGCAGAGAACAAGCAAACCTTCTGGGAACTCACAGAGTGATATCTGTAGACGCACTAAATTAAGAGGGTTCACATTTTAAAGAATGCCATTCTAAGTTGGACATTGTGGGATTTACGATGAACTCTATCCAAAGAATTTGGTCTTTGTCCTTTGTTTCTGAGAGATAACCTCTAAACCTTTGTAATTTCCCCACTGGTTGAAGTGTCTTTGATGAGGCCTCCAGATCACATTTGGTGGTTTATGCTACAAGGTGCCTCTTGTACTGGCCAGGCCAGAAAGACCCACCACATATTAGCCAGTTTCAGGGGAGGGGGCTGATTCAGTCAGTCATGCCTATGTAATGAGGACCCAATAAAGGCTTTGGACACATAAGTTCTCTGGGCTTCCTGGTTGGTGACAGACATTGATGCACGTGGGAGGTAGTGTGTCCCTTCCGGGACGTGGAAGCTTCATGCCGGGAATCCTAGACCTTGCCCTATGCGTCTCTTCACTTGTATCCTTTTTGCTATAATAAAACTGTAATTGTAAGTATAGCACTTTCCTGAGTTTGGTGGGTCCTTCTAGTGAATCACCGAACCTAAGGAAGTAGTAGGAGCCAGTGGGTCAAAAGTGAGGGGGCCCTGGGGACCCCAAGCTTATGGCTGGCATCCTGAAGGGGTAGTGGGAAAACCCCAAATTTGCAGCCAGCAGGTCAGAAGTTAGGGTGTTGTGGGGTACCCCAAGCCTGAGGCTGCCATCTGACTTCTTGGGCAGACTCAGCAGTCTGAGGACTGTGCCCTTTGACTTGTGGGCGCTGACCTAGCTCTCTCTGGTGGGAAAGGTCAGAGAAGAAGTGCTGCAAGTGAAGCTGAACTGGACTTGAATTCCTTCAGTGTAGTTAGTGGCAGAGAAGTGAAATAAATCATTTGCAGTTGATCTTTAGAGACATTACTGCTTTGTTCACTGAAGCTAAACGCTATCATACCATGTTGACGAATATAAGAGATGCCGATGAGTCAAAAAATACATCAAAGTTAAAAGAAGACAGACAGAGAAAAAAAGGAGCACTTATACTGTAGCAAAGGAGGTAGAAAGAAGAGTTGGAAGGGGTAAAGCCAGTCCAAAGGACGTGAAAAGCTGAACATTACTGTGCATACGTGTTTCCCTTTCTACATAATATTCTTCGCATTTAAGCAAATGTAACTGGTAGGCTAAAGTCAAGGCAATGCCTTACACCACTGGGCACATGTTGAAATCCTTTTCCTGACAGGGATTACTGTGTATCCACATCTTCATTTCAGCCATTCAAGATGCTTTTCTCCCAGCACTAGATATAATATCATTTGGTTTTTATATTATTTAAATATTTTTTCAAATCTGTTTTAATTTTAAAATTCATTATTTTGGCCTTGAAACACTTATGAACTGGAGAATCATTTGACTTTTTAGGATTGTCTATAGGTTAAAAATTAGTATAACATTTGTATCCACTTAACAGATGTAGACTCCAAGTCTCCATTTCTCGTTTCACGAAATGACTTGCTTTTTTGGCAATACACAATGCTGATTTTTGGTAACTGTCCTTTCACTGCTTGGTTAAGAAGAAATCCAGTTGTCCAACAGCCCTCGTGAAGAGCATAATGGAAGTTTAACCACAGGACATAACCACATCTTCGACACTGGGTAACACAGCAAGATGGCAGATAAATTCCACTAAGCATGTACGATGCTATCTACTTCCTGGAGTCTAAAACCCTACCGCATCCTCCTTGTTACTTCTCAGTTCCTGTGGGGGTAGGATTGTGGAGCTATCACACACACAAATACGCTTTAATATTTACAAAGTCATCCCCATTGCCATCGAGTCGATTCCAACTCATAGCAACCGTATAGGACGGAGTCCAACTGCCCCATAGGGTTTCCAAGGCTGTAAATCTCTATGGAAGCAGACTGCCACGCCTTTCTCCTGTGGCACGGCTGGTGCGTTTGAGCTGCAGACCTTTTGGCTAGCAGCCGAGCGCTTAACCACTGTGCCCCCAGGGTTCCTCAGACTTAGGAAAAGTAATCATGTATCCAGATTTAGTTGTCAAGCAGATAAAGAGATAATGAACCCAAATCTCCAATAGCTCTATTCTCTGATTTGCTGCGTGGCCTTGTGCAGTCACTTTTTCCTGTCCTTTCAAAAAATTCATCAAGTAGAATGATTTATACCTAAATAACCCCTTGGTAAGGAGCCCTGGTGGCACAGTGGTTAAGTACTCTGCTGCTTACTGAAAGGTCAGTGGTTTGAATCCACCAGCCACTCCATGGGAGAAAGATGTGGTGGCAGTCTGCTTCCATAAAGGTCGACAGCCTTGGAAACCCTATGGGGCAGTTCTGCTTTGTCCTATAGGGTCGGAAGCAACTAGATGGCAATGGGTTTTTGGTTTGGCAAGAGAAACAGTGTCTACAGCCAAAGACAGAAGCGTATGGACAGAGCCAAGGTCTTCAGCAAACTGAAGGAGAGGCCCTCTGCATGAACTTCTCTGAACAGCAAAGATGACAGCTTTCTGAGGGCCTCTTCGTCCCTGTTTACATTTTTGGGGCGCGAGAGGGAGGCAGGCGAAAAGGAAGAGGCCAGAGAAAGGCGCCAAGTCAGGGGAAGATGGGCCCAGAGACCGGGCGAGGAAAGAGAAGCAAGTCCGGGACTGAAGGTGGGGGGGATGCCTCCAGATCAAAGGCGGGGTCCCCCCTTCCGCCAGAGGCCCCCCTCCCGCCAGAGGCCCCTCTCCCGGCAGAGGCCCGGCCGGCTCCGCCTGCAGCCTGACCCGCTGCAGCCCGCGCGCGCCCCGACCCGAC